TGCTGTTGCTGTTGCTGTTGCTGTTGCTGTTGCTGTTGCTGTTGCTGCTGCTGCTGCTGCTGTTGAGATTGTTGCGTTTTGTTGTTTCTTGGCGGACTTGGCGCAGTCACTTGTTGATCCGTCGGGGAGGTTTGTCGCCATTTGCAGTCCCCGTTCATGGAGTTCATCTCCGCGAGCGACTTGAGCGGATCGCCGGTGGTGTTGGTCGAGTGCGTGGACGAGTGGGTCGAATGCGGCGTCGGGGGACTGTAGCTGCCGTTGTTTCTGGGCGGTGTGCGTGACGGCGGCGCGCCCCACATCAACACGGTTTGTCGCGGCGCCTCGGCATTGCTGTACACCTCGGTTTTTACGTCCTCGATTTTCGGCGTCAGCATACCGTTGGCCGCGCTGGTCACCGGCGAGCTCCCGGCGGAATTGCTGGATGACGCGCCACCCTCCAGAGAGTGCCTGCTCCCGGCGCGCACCGCATTCATATCGGTTGTCGTTGGATGCATCGTGGACACGCTCGCCACGGGACTGGCGGCGTAGGGTGAACCGCTGACGCTTCCGGGGTGTCTCGTCTCCACATAGCTGTATTTGGGCGACTCGCCACTACCGAGTTGCTGGCAGTAGAGCTTCTCCTCCGTCTTACTGGTCAGCTGATGGGTCTCGTACGTAGGCAACGACACGTCGATGAAGCCATTATACGCGGTGCCGGTGTGATATTCCGGATAATATGAGCCCAACGGCCTGTATTGAAACAGGTTCTCCGTCGCAGCTGTGAGATACCTATGTAAAAAAAAAAGATTTAGCTGCAATGTAAAGTTCTTTGTCGATGTGTATCTTCTTTTTCATTATACATTCGCGTTTTCATATATATATAGCGATTAATGCACGGTCTTGTGGATTGATGTTTGAAGTGGTTTAATTTAAATCTCGAAATGTTTAAGATTAGATACTCTCAGTCACCTCACCTGTTATCTAACGCGCTCGCTGAATAGAGGGTCTGATGATAGTTGCCCGTGTGACCGATGTAAGTCGTCAGGGATGGATCGGTGCTCGCCGCCACCGCTGTGGGCGGGTACGGTGTCGGGTACATGGTGTTCAAATTACTGTACGCCGCAGCGACCGCGGCCGCCGTGCTGGTATCCGCCGCGAGATAATCCACGGACGCGACTGTGGGAGTCACCGGTGGCGAGACCGACGACTGAGCGGAGAGTTTGGTGCGCTTGCGTGTGCACGTTGTGAGGAAATCCCGCAACTGCGTCTTATATCGCCTGTTCACTCTCTGGGGCGCCGGTTGCGCCGGTAACGTCGGCGTCATGACCGACCCCGTCAGGGTATCGCTGTCCGAGAAGTAGCTGTTGGTCAAGCCGGCGTCCAGATAGCTCACCTTAAAGTCCATCGTACGTTTACCGAGCAGGTCTCTACCTTCCTCTTCCCTGAAATGTGAATTAATTGTATCGCTGCCCTCGCTCGTCTCGGCGTAACCGAACGTAACGCTGAAACTTACATGAGAGGTCGATGAGTACTCAGCACGAAATCTGGTTTCGAGTTTTTGTAGACCAGCCTGGAGCTAGTCTGCAACCACTGCCATCCGCCGTCCTTCGTTTGAAATCTGTAGGCTATCATGCCTGATGCACCGGTTTTTAATACTAAAAAAAGAAAAAAAAATAGATTAAAATTGTACCAATATTTGCTAATATCTAATTTCGTAAGATAATTCGATGTCGCTTCGGCAAAATCAGCTTTGCTATCAACGAAATTTTAACATCATCAAAATATTGTATAAAATAATTGCAGGTAATACCTAATATTAATTCGCTTTTAGTTACATTTCGTATATTTTATAATTATTATTGATTAAGAACAAAGGAAATATTTATTCAAGAGTGGATTTTTTTATTTTTTGCCGTTCTTTAGATAAAGTTATTTTAGCCGCGATAAATATAAAAATGGACTTACATTCTTGATGTGCGCTGGCAACGTAGGCCAGATCGTCATAATGGACTAGATCGTAGCCACCAAGATTCGTTATTTCCGCATCGGAATACCCTAGGAGCATTTTTCCTTTTTGATCCATCGTCACGAGCGCGAGATCCAGCTTGTGTTTGCTCTTAAACATCACTTCCTTCTGCGGCACCTCCAGGAGCGATGGCGGCCCAAACGGTGTGCACAGGGCGAACAGGGCCAGCGGTGGCTCTTCCGTCTTCCGGTTCTGGCCGTGAAGTACTTTAACTCGGCCCCTGATGTCGAGACGCTGCAATAAATAATTCGTAGTGTCTATAAAGTGATGACAAAAAATATCGTACAACTAAATTTTGTTGCACAAAAAACCGTGATTGCTTGGTGCAGAAATATCGTTATAGATATCCATTGAATTTCACTCGTTTTGAGCGATATTTAATTCTTCAACTTTTAGAGAGTATTACGTATAATATTTTATTATATGATATTCTTGGAGTGCTCGTAGTTTCATTATAGAACGCAACATCCGCAAGTGACAGATCGAAGACGCCCGTGGCGCTCTTCTAACAGGAGAGGATCTCACGTAGATGGAGCGGTCGCAAAAAACGGCAGAAGCACACGGTAGCTAGGTACGTCCCGTCCCGTCGTGAAGGATGCCGCCAAGGGCAGGTCCCGTGGAGGAGGTGGTGGTGGCGGTGCGCCTCCACGCGCCGTAAACTCTTTTACGATTACAGTTTCATTTTCATAAACGTCAAAGCGGCGCCGTTTTTGTCGAACTTTTGCGAGAACTTGGCGCGGCGCGGAACTCGCTCCTCTCGCTCTCTCTCGCGCGCGCGCCCCGCGTCCTTTACCCAGGATAATACCGCCGTCCGGCCGCGTTCGACACCGAGGTATACCTGCGCGCGTCCACGGTGTGTTTGCCGTAAGATAATTAGTGTTTTGCCGCGTCTTCGTACGTACTCCGGCTGCCCGACCTTCCCTTCCTTTTCCCTCGTCTCCGTCCTCTCTTTCCCTCCCTCCCGTCTCGTCCGGGGAGAACCTGGTTTTGTTTGGCCCTTGATTTATACCTTTTCTTGAACGCCGTCGGGACAACGGTACCAACGATGGACAGCTCGGCCGTCCGGACGAATTATCGTTTCAATCTTCGCCGCGCGCTGTCACGGTTCATTGGCTGGGTCTATGATTATACACGTCCAGCTTTTACGCGGGGAATATCGGCCTCACGGCCTAGATTTAAGGCCGTTGACGTAAGCGCTGTTCAAAATTCATCCGGGAATATTCAGGAAATCTGTCGAGCACCGGGTGCTTCGCCAGGAATGATCGTTGCGAGAGAACGAGAGCCAATCTGACGCGCCACATTTCATCGTACAAACCAAGCGACATGGGTCGCTTTAGTGAAAGTTGTTGATACTCGATAAAACAACGTTTAAGTTGGCGACACACACCTATAGTGTTATCATATATAAAAATTATAATGTAATTCGATTGTATTGACGTGCGTCCGATGTCCCGCGAAAATTACGAAGAGATTGTTGAAACCGATACTTCGTGGACAACAATTTAACACATTCCTACGCGGTTTCAGCTCGATGGATAGTAGGTCGAGAGGGTAAGTAGGAAACAACCCGGGAGAGAGGATCTGGAAGAGGAGATGGACGGGGAAAAAAAGCAATTACGCGAGAGAGCGGGAGAGCATGTGGCGGTGTTATGGAACGGAGAAGAGAGTTCGCTCCTCTTCCCTTTACGACAGTGAAATTATTAATTACTGTTTTGTATGCCGGCACGTCGCTTTTGGGAACCGTGAAGGAACGTCGTCCTGATGGCTCCTACCTGGCTTGGTCCTTGCCTGTGGTAGCCAGCGCGCATGCCATTTGTTGTAATTACGTGGCGCATTTGCCGCAAAGATTTCGAGATCGTTTACGTGCTTTCACGAAGGAGTGCCCGAGATAGGATTAGAACCTCTCGGTTCCCAAACAAACGCAAATATACCTTAAGAAATAAATTCATGTCGAATAAATTGTTTAGATTACATATTGATATGGTCATTAATAAATTTTAAATAATTTTTTACTCTTGAAAAAAATTAAGATATTCGATTCTAATTTCAAGTTTTTAAAGTTATTTAAAAGTTTAATTAAATATAATTCGACTTCAGTTTTAACATGAAGCTACTTAATTTAAAAATTAAAATTAAAAAACTGACAGCCCATTGAATTTATAATAAATCAGTTTTAATGAAAAAATATCAGGATGATTTCTAATAAATATTATATGTTGAGCATATCTCGAAAATCCGTTTTCGTCGCTCTGAATTGTGTGCGTTAGTGCGGTTAAAAATGTAACATACGCAAAAGTACAAGCGATGCGGCATTAAGCAGCGTAGGTATACGTACCAGAAAACCGGATGTATTGTCGAGAAGACAACGGAAGCGAACCGTGAAGCTACGTTCGAGCAGATGACAATGCTGGGACGAGAGTGCGTCGTGTAACGGCAGGCTTGCACTTTCGGCAGGCAGGAAAGAATTCCACATTAATTGCCGTTGCAATTCCTCCCGGTCTTCACTGTGCACCAGTTCGTATACACTCTGGTGGACGATGTCAGACTAGAAAAAAGGAAGGAGACAGATTTTGTTAGCGGATTTATTTATCATTGTCTGTTTTTCAATATTTAGCCAGTGCACGCTTTATGTTTGCAGTGTTTTGCTTTCTAAGTCATATCTCTTTTCAATTTAATTAACATTTTTTCCTCTTTTCAATAAATTTCTCTTTTATCTCTTAATATTTTTCGTACACTGCAAATATAATAAAAATGAATAAATTCTGCAATGAATACCATAATTAATTTTTTTTATCCATCTTAATTTATTTTTTCTTTAGAATATTTTTGTAACTTTTATTATATCTATTCACTTTGTGTGATTTATTTTGCCTACTACTGTAATTTGTACTTTTACGTTTCTGAAGAGAATCCAATTGTACGAAACATAAAAATAGATTCACACCATGTGATTACGCACATTTCGTTTACTATAAATCACCAAATATTACGTAATTTTTTTTATCAACAAAACACGTCTGCGAAACCGAACGGGTGATACATATATCACGAAGATTTGTGGCCGACGTCGAAAATAATAAAAACAAAACGTGAGATTCGCTTATCCGCGACACGCGCAATACAGATTTTATTGCGTCCATACATAATTAATGCTCGTTTATTCGCAGTTTAGATACCGGCTATAAAACGAGTTAATAATAGTGCTCGCGTTCTTTGCCTCGCGGGCACCTGACATTCGCGTTTATCCAATCTAAGAATTCGTGCATACATTCTATCGTGTGTCACGAACGTGCGCGAACTCCGGGCCATTATTTACGATTAACTCTTCGACTACCGTTTTCCTCGCGTCAATCCTCGTCGCAATCTCGTTTACGTTGCCTTTGTACCACGGAGGACCACGGTGCGTAGAAAGATTGCTACATGACGATCAGACTTGTCTAAACTCCAAGTAAGCCAAGACGGGTTTCCGCGTTGTTTATATTTGCGAAATATATCGACCCGTTTCCGTGTCAAAATGATCACTTTTGAAACAGAGGAAACGATTTTAATCAGCTTGGAATAATTACAGTCCAGAAAATTGAAAGGCCAAAGAGTCATAGGGTTTAAAAAATTTGCGACATCTTCGGAGATTATATATTCTTTTAAACATTAAATTTAGAAATTTTATGAATTAAAAAAACTTATATAAGTAATGATAAAAATAATCATAGATAATAGAAAATTGTATTAAAAATTCTTATTTAAAATAATCATTTTCGAGGCAAAAGAAACGGCTGGAATTTAATTAGCTTGAAATTTATTGCAATTCAAGAAATTTATGACCAAAGTATTGCATAAAGATTTGCATGTCTTCAGAGATATGCTGTCTTAAATATTAATTTTTTTAAATTTTATAAATTTAAAAAAGAGAACTTATGCATATGCATATAAATATATAAAAGTAATAAAAAAAAACATGTATATAAAAATATTACAGGTAATGTAAAAAATTTTACTTAAAAACGTGCAAATTTAATTAATATTTTGTATGTAGTATGTACTAATTGTACCACATATAAATATAATATCTGTATTTTTTATATGGTACATTTTAATCTTTTTAAAGCAAGATAATATATATGTTAAGGTGTTTCTGCAATAATAGCAGTGGCACAACTATAAATTGCATTTCTGATAGAATTTAACTACGATAAACATGGAACTTTAAGTTTTAAGGCTGTTCAACCGTATTAGCAGAGTGGCGCAGTGGAAGCGTGCTGGGCCCATAACCCAGAGGTCCGTGGATCGAAACCACGCTCTGCTAATTTTTTTTTTTTTTTTTTTTTTTTAATATATATATATATAAATTTAAGCCAAAAATATATATAGTTTGTAGATAAATATATTCATAAATATATTATTGTAGAATGTAATTTAATGATTTTTGCAGGCGTAAGAAGAGCATTACTTGTTATCATATATCGTGATGTAAATTTTAATTCTGCGATTTCTACAGAATTTCCGCTTGTTGTGTTGAGAGAATAAACTAAGTGTATCAGCAAAATATCAGCAAAAATGTCAACTTGCTGAAAATTTTTTAATTTAGAAATTCATTAGATTGTTAATTACGAACTAAAAATCTTTTGTATCTATTTCAACAAAATAATTTGATCACTCTTTTTTCACTCAACAACATATTTTGTTAATAATTATTTTTAATGAAATTTTCAATAAATAAAACCTAGATGTTTCAAAGAGAGTATGGAGAGAAGATTGTTAACAAACATCGTAAAAGCTCTATAAAGCACCGAACCGTAATAATAGTATCTCTAGGATCCTCGGGTCGCAACCGGGTGTTTCGCGCGGCATTGGCGATCAATGCCGTCACACAGAATTACATAACAATTTCAAGCGGAAAAACATGAGAAGTGGCAAGCACGATCAATGCTCTCTTTCTCTCTCTTTCGCATCGTTGTCGTCGTTGTTACTGTCTCGCAAATTCTCGCTTATGACCAGCAGCAGCAACAGCAACAAACGCGACGGGGAGCGTGGCTAAACATGGAAGTCGTGAGATCGCGGCGCCGCTGATATACCTAGGCACGAACGTACGTAGGTAGAGGTATAATACACCCGCTGGTCATGTACACGGGAGAGATACAACGCGGGTCCGGCGTTAGAAACGTAGCTCTGGTAGCCGAGGGAAGTCGCCTCTCTCGTATCGTACTCTCTACCCGCGTGATTTATTATATTATTCGCTGGCGAGTGCGAGCACCCAAGCTGACAGCCGTGACCAGGTAATGGCCGATGGAGAGAGAGTCAATTCGATCTGTTGGAGAACTCACGGCCTAGAGCTGAACTCGGCCAGAGGTTTGGATGCGTGTGCACAGCGCCGATTATCGGATTAAAAGTCATGCGCGTTACACCACCTCGACCTGGCCAAGATCGCTTCATTATCAGTCCTGTTACGTAAAGTAATAAGTATATCCTTGAACACCTATATCTATACGTCATGTAAGATGCTCTTCGCAGCGAGCGCGATGCGTCTTGTATATACATTTTGTATTTATATTTTTTGGAGAAAGACAAATAGAGGGTGCCTAGTTTACAATACATTTATAATTTTTATAATTTATTGCTCGCAGTAAATGAAATTTTTCTAATTTAATATGTCCTAATAAATGACATTTTTATAATTTAATATTTATAATAAATTTAATGTATAAAATATATGTGCATTAAATTTGTATTAAATTATGTTTGTTATTTTATATATAAAATTTAATACAAACATAAGCACTATCTTCCTAATAACTACAATGTACTAATATTTACATTACTGTCCGAATATTTATGTTATACTTTCTGTCTTAAAATTAGCAAGGGCGATACTCTGACGAGCGACGGGACAGCAGCATAACACATCGAACGCGCGTCCTATCAATTTCTATTACAGTTCTTCGTGAGCCGCGTGGAGCTACGTGGCGTAGAAAATTGTACTTCTTCCGTGCGCGGACTCATTGCTCTCGCCGGAGACTAGTCCCGGATTAATTATGCGCGATAAAGTGCGTCGAACACGTGTAGCTACATGTGCCGTACGCGAGCCAGTGTCGCGGTACGCGACGTCACGGCCGATCAGATATTTTCTGAAATAATGCCGCTCGGTTTTGCCGAGTACATCCCACGTCCGAGGATGAGGCCTCTTCCTGTTTTTGCCCCCACGTGTCATCCCCGACGCTCGGTTGCAGTTCAGTTTATACCTCTTGGGTCGATATGGAGAAAATTACTATGGATCTGGGATCTGCTGTGTCCGTAATATATCACTGTAATGGGCGATGTATCAACTTGATGGGTTTATGCAATGTCATTAAAATTACCGCAATAATGTAATAATTGTAATTTAATTGTTACAATGAATGCGCTGTCATGATTTTAATTCGCAAAGGTATTCAGAAGATTACGACATGGATGGTGCTTCAAAGCACCAAAAGACTTACAGAATACATATTTATATTCCCAACATTTATTCCTACCGTTGAGAAGCTTGGCTGTTTTATATCGAAAATTATGACACAGTCGACCATTTGGCATGCCTTTCATCACGATTTAATAACGAGATAATATATATTAATATCATCACCCTATCCGCAAGTTTATTAATTCATTAACGACTCGCGCGCTCTGACTTGAGTCCCGAGTAAGGGCCAAAGCACATATGACAGTCGTAGTCGTGGACGTAAGTAACGCACAAGCTTTGGCGTATCCTGATCTATCAGGTCGGGGTCTACGACCGTCGTATATCGCTACGCCATGTTATGTGCTTTGGCCCTAAGTACGACAACATTCGCGTCGCAAGCGCAAGTTACATATCTCGTATACACGGTGGATCATAATCGTCAAGATACGGGCGCCTAAGAACGTTCGATATCGACAGCGAGAGCGCAATTTCATCGCGAGACGTTTCCCGGTGCATTCACGCCGATCGTAAAACTCCGAATCCCAATAAATATGATGAGGGGGTGAGGGGGAGAAGAAATTCCCGACGAAACCCGCAGGTAAGCTGGGGAAAGATAGGAGTCCCCTGCGAGGAGATGAGAGAGAAAAAGAGAGAGAAAGAGAGAGACGAGTCCTGGCTCGCCGTGAGAGCCAATGAATTAGAGCGCGGACCGTTTTCCTTCTTCTTCTTCTCCTTCTTTTTCCTCCTTTTCTTCTTCCTCCACCTCCCTCTCTAGTCGCAACCCCGCTGCGATTGCGCGAGAGCCGCTCTAATTTTAATTAAAGATTACACACGATTTCCGTGGTAATCGCCGTTCGTACCTCGTATCCCGAACATACAGTGGACGTGTAATTGCACCAGCCGTGTATTCCACCTTCGTCTTGGTGCCCCTTCATTCCCGCACGCATATGTATATAGCAGGAACGAGAATAAACCCCACTTGTAATTCTCATTGATGCGTACGACGCGGTCGATTATTTTCTGCGCGCCGCGGCCGTTAGAACGCGCTTGTTTATCTCGCAATTGCACTCGGCAGAATTTTATCAATAGACAGAACTTATAATCTTTTCGAA